TACGATAAAGCGACAAGACGCTTTTGAGTGTTGACTTAGGCAATAGATCTAAGTATCACTCCAGGACATACGACATAGGAATTAGGAAGATATTTGAGTGTTGACTTAGGCAATAGATCTAAGTATCGCTCCAGGACATACGACATAGGAATTAGGATACGCCGAAGCGACAAGACGCTTCCAGAAGATAGGAAATAGGATACATTGAAGCGACAAGACACTTCCAGAAGATAGGAAATAGGATACATTGAAGCGACAAGACGCTTCCAGAAGACCGACAACATACTCAGTAACTTCCCTATAAGCGTGGGAACGGATTTCCAGTGCAGACAAAAGGACAGAGCGTAGTTCTCTGTTTAAGTGAATACATTCAAGCGGCCCATTTCTTTCTCCTGATTCAACTAGGTCATCCCCGACTTAGATAGACCGGGACCCTAGGCAACTGTGTGACTATATACTAGCACTACAGTTCGCGCGACAGCGGTGTGGCGTTCGCGAGCGAACACAGCTTCTTGCTGCGTGCACAATTGTGGCATGCTGTGGCCTTGCCTCGGGCGACGGGTGGCTGGCACCCCTTCTTTGCGGTCTTGCACTGAAGACACGGCGTGTTCACCTCCGGCTACAAGATGGTCAACTCCGACATCGGTATTTTTTGGAGACGGCTTACCTGCCACATGTTGTTGTCATCGACGACCGAGGCTGGCTCGTCGTGCTTGGCCCGCTTCACAGGGGCCTGGTCTGGGAGCGATAGCTCCGTCTGACCGTGACGCAGCTAGAAATCGCTGAAGATTAGTTTTTGACTCCATTTCCGACCGCGTACTGGATACGTACCTTGCTCGACGCGGCAGAGACCTCGCTGCGGACCTCCGCATCGGAGCGCGTCGTGCTCCGCGACACCGCTCCCGCCACATGAACCGTTGGCACTACTACCTCCACTCGACTAATTCATGTGGCCTCCGACGCTCGGCCCTTCCCTTTCCCCCTAGCACCCCTCTTCGGATGCTTCGGCGTCTCCCCTCGACCTGGACTCCATAGGCTCATCTTGGGGCGGCACAACGCTCGCCGACGCCGGTTCTGTTGGATTTTCGTCTTCAAGAGCGCGGAGACCAAGCGGATTACTGGCTGACTGACGGAGGTCTTCTTCTGAGGGCGGGGAGGCATTGTGGATGAAGGCAAGAGACGAAATTCGAGTCATCAAGTCTGATCACTTATCTAGATCGATCACCTCGAGGGCTCGGTGGCTAAGAGGGGGATACTGTCACGTGTTGATCCAGACCGACCTACGTCGATCCGCTCCGCCGATCGTCACCGATCTACACCGATCTTCTCCGATCTGATCTCCGACCCTTCACCGACTTCTTCGCCGACACCAATCCCGCCTTTCCCGATTCGGTCGAGGGCGGGATATGCCTATCACATGCACTGGGCCACTGGCGGCTCAACGCCCCGGTGGTTCCAGATCTTTGAACGGATTCAACTCCGACTTTCCTGATTCCTGTTCCCTTTGTCTGACATCATAGCTTCCCTTTGTAGACTTTAGTTTTCCGTCGCTTGCGACGGATCTTTTGGTCTGATCTTTCCGCCTCTTCCGTAGATATGTTCCCTTTGTGTTCCATGCGTAATGTCTCGTCTCCGTATGTTCCCTTTGTGCGCCAAACGGCGCCTCCGATCTCCAACTCTCCAACTTCGCCATTGTTCTCTTTTATGCATATAAACCGTCGAACTGTACCGTAGATAGTCAGTTCGAATATCGACTAAGCTTTGCTCTCTTCCTCCTGCGGACTCAGAGCGTGTAGCAGCCTAGCGCACGAGCTTAGGCTTGGTCCGCATCTGATCTCGACTCCACCAACGCTTCTGACTTATCGACTTCACGCCGACGCGTTTCCGACTCCGCTCCGACTTCACCCCTTGAGTTTTCTTTTCTATTTCATTCTATCCTTTGTATATACGTTTCGGACTTCGGTCCTCCGACCCCGTTACCCCTTGTTTGTATCCGATCTTGACACTCTCCCTGACTCGATTCTACGCTTTCCTCGTTGTCTCTAGCCTCCCTGGTTGCCCTACACCGTCGCCTACTCGCCTACAGCCTCTACATCGCCACCTATGTCTTCCAGCACCTCCACCAGCACCCAGAAGGTCACCCCGCTGGGGGAAAACAACTACAACACCTGGATGCCTGAGATGAGGGCCTACCTCGCTGAGCAGATGGTCTGGTTCGTCGTCTCTGGCGAGGATTTGAGGCCCTCATATGACGCTGGGGGCGTGGCATGGAGGGATAAGGCTGCGGCGGCAGCAGGAGCCATCTATAGGGCGCTGGAGCCGGGTCAGAGGGTACATGTGGTGGGGATTGAGATGGATCCGGCGAAGATGTGGGCGAAGTTGGCCGAGGTTCACCTCCAGAAGGTGTCTGGTGCGCGTTTCAACGCCCTCGACGCCCTCCTCGCCGTTAGAAAGGGTGTTGACGAGTCCCTCCCCTCCCTCATCGCTCGAGTCGACTCCCTGCACCAGGAACTCAAGGCCCTCCGTCCAGAACGCTACAGCATTGCCGACCTCGACGACGACCTCGCCACCATGTCCATGCTTCGCTCCCTGGGCCCAGAATATGCCGAGTTCACCTCCTCCCTCGTCCGCTTCGACCCCAGCCGCTCTGACGTCGTTCAGGCCTTCATCCGCAAACATAACCACTGCCTGCCGCGCGCCGGAGCCGCCGACAATGCCACCTATCGCGCTCAGGCCGCTCCCGGCTCCTCCGGCGCCCCCGGGACGGCGGTGGACCTCGAGCTCTGGCATCGGCGCTTCGGGCACGTCAACGTCGACTATGTGCGCCGGATGCTGAAGGAGGACAGTGTCTCTGGCCTCAAGCTCGACTCGGACGCCGCTCCAGACACCATCTGCGAGCCTTGCATCTCGGGCAAGCTGCACCGGCCTCCTGTGCCTCTGAGGGCCTCCCGACGCGCGTCAGAGGCCCTGGGTCTCGTTCACATGGACGTCCACGGCCCTATCCCTGTCCAGACAGCTGAAGGGTACCGATACTGGGTGATCTTCGTCGACGATGCCCACCGCTTCTGGGTGGTGGTGCTGTTCCGGTGCAAGAGCGACGCGTTCCAGGCCTTCCTGCGCTTCAAGGCCTTCGCTGAGCGGCTCACCCGATGCAAGATCGGCGCACTGCGCGACGACTAACAGCGTAGGAGGCTGTCTGACCCGCTGTAGCGAGCTGGGAGCAAGGGAATGGAGCTGTGAGTCGAAGTCTGAGGACTTTGGGCTCCATCCCTGCTCCCTAAATACATCTAGCTATGATGGAAGCTATGGTAACAAGTAACAAAGGGAGATATCGAAGCTACGGAGATAGGGATCAAGCGTGTGGAGATGGACAGTTGGAATCAGTGATCTGAGCAACCAACTGACTGTTGGACCAGTTGTATCGGTTGCGTAGTCAATCAACCGATGCCAACTGATACCAACCGATGTGAACAGATGCAGACCCCCGCAAGCGGATCATCTCTAACGCCGCTATTTTCGACGAGAGGTACTTCCCCGGAGCGCGTTCTACCGCCAGCTGGGACTCTGCTGCCTCCGACTTCCTTCTCCGCGCCCTGCCTTCGCTGCACGGCGCTCCTCGCTCTCCTCCTGACGCACCTGCGCCGGTTCCGGGGGGAGATATGGCACCACCGCCGTTTCAGGATGCTCAGGACCTCCCTGAACCGGGGGGAGATCTGGAACCGCCTCATGTGCCGCCTGTCGCTCCTGCCAGAGTCGAGACGCCTCCGC